ATCTCTTTCCCATTAAATAAACACAGCATGGCCCCGCACTTTCTTCACCTCCCTCACACCTTTTTTTGCCCTGCTCTCCGATTCTCATATCCTTTCTTTTTCTCTAGAGCACTCTTCACCATTGAACCTACTACCTATTTGCTTGGTCAATCAAGTTGATTATCTCTCCCCTCTACCCCCAGGAGAATGTTAAGCTCCACAGAGCAAGACATGCTTATGGTCACTGCAGTTCTACTGTGGAGGGGCTGGCAAATAAAAGGTGCTTAATGAATGCTGGTACAAAGACTGTCAACTGCTAAAAAATAACATTATGCAGCAATGAGTAGAGTTGCTGCTATTCCTACTGCTCCAGATTCAGCTGGTCCTCCTGATGACATCTTGTTTTTACAAACATCCCAAATAAGTGCAATGACTTATCTGCACAGTCTTAATGCCTGCCACACCGTTAATAATCCAAAAATTGTGAATAAATGTGAAATGAAAAGCACTTGGAGATTAGAAAAGGACCAGGAAACAAAGCAAAATGCACAGACACAGCAGCAAACAGGTACCAAGTTGAAAGAGTTGGCTGGAGTGAGGGTTGGGAGTAAACCAAACCCAAAAACAACATGAATTAAAAATCTAGAAAGTGAGTCTTCATTAGAAATACCTGAATATACTATATACTTTTTAATTCAGTTTTGATACAGAATTGACACTTCAAATTACAAAATTTGAGCAAGAAAGTGTTAAAAATAAGATCTCAAATGGTGTACTTATGCTTAGACACCAAACCAAGACAACTTAATTACAATTTCAGCTATCCCAGAAGTGGAATCTTAAACTGGTCAGTCAGGAATCACCTGATCAGCACTAGTTAGGTAATCTTCCTAACTAGTAAATGGTAGACCCCTGCCATCCCCTAAAGGAAAGTAACCTTGCAATAACCAACCCATTTTTTTGCTGAGTGTAACTTTCTTGTTCCCACTTCTGCCTATAAAAGTCTTTCACTTTGTACAGCGCCTGAAAGCTCCTTTCTAACTGCTACATTGGATGCTGCCCGATTCAAATTGATTTTTGCTCAAATAAACTCTTAAATTTTTTAATAAGCCTTAGTTTCTTTTAACAAAAAAAATACACATTAAATATCTAGTCCAAACACATCGTTTTATAGCTAAGAAAACTGAAGTAGAGAGGCCAGATGATAAGCCTAAAGTGAAATAACAAGCTATAGAGTAAGAGACATAAAAATCTACCAGAGGGTAGGGGGTGGGGGAGGAAGGGAAAGGTAGATGGGGTAAAGGGGGTCAAATATACGGTAGCTGAAGGAAACCGAACTTTGGGTGGTAAACACACAATAGAATATACAGATGTCAAATTATAATGTACATCTGAAAATTATATAATTGTATTATCCAATGTTACCCCAATGAACTTAATTTAAAAAGGAAAAAAAATCTGCAATCTTCTGGTTTTCAGGCCCATGGCCTTTCTATCCTACTGCCTTTGGGATCTTCTTCTCAAGACTTTACAAAATGAGAAAAAAAGAAGGGAAGGGAGGAAAAAAGGCACTTTGATTGTTCCATGAAGAGTGATATGAATATGATATTTTCTAGACTAACCTTGTAAGCAAGAGCCTCTGTTTAAAAACACAGAAAAACTCTAAATTAGATGAATTTTCATGAAAAATAACATTATTAGTGAGTGTCCTAGCTTAACCTAATTTTAGGCAAACCAACCAACTCTGACTCTGTTGACAAAAGGGGTTTTGTTGGGATATTGGCCTCAAAGCCGGGACAACAGCAGGACAACAGCAGCGGCATTTGTTGCAAAGCTCTTAAGCCATTCTTATTGAGTGGTTTCTAGAAAGTTTTTAAAGCAACCAACTCTTCCAAAATGCCTGTTAAAAGTTAGCATCAACAGTTAGTCCCAGAAAATGGCTTTATAATCAATCAAAATATTGAAGTCAGACTTAAGAAGCACAAGTATTCTCAAGAGAACATACTATTTAATGGGCATATCAGGCATTCAGTATCAAAGATATTATAATTTTACCATGACATCTCCTATTTGAAGTATATCTGTGAAAATTTTAGGAAAAAATTTAGGATGACATATTTAGTCTAATAAAAAATTAAGAGTGAAAGTACATTATGAAATATGGAGAGTGATATGTAATCAATTAAAATGCATTTCTAACTTATTGTGCGTATTTCTTCTGTACAACTGAAAAAACAGGGTCACATTAAACAATAGTCACCCCTTTGACTTATCTTTAGGAAAACTTTGCTGCCTCAAAATAAGATCTAGTGGAGACTCCAAACATAAATTATTAGGTTTCAGCGATGACTCAAAAAGCAGAACAGCATGTACTAACTTATATAAGACACAGCTCAGATCTAGAAATCTGTATTATTGTAGTGATCAAGACTTGAAAAAATACCAAAACATATATGTAGTGCTACTTGTATGACTGTTCAATGTGCTACATAAACTTTTAAAAAATTGGCATTAAGCATTTGGGTTATTACTCCAAAATTTACCCAATAATAAAATGAGTAACACTATCTCTTTACTCATGTATCTCATGATTTGATCTTTAAAAAAAAAACAAAACCAAAATAAACAGCAACCACTACTACTGAGCTGAGGAATATATCAGAATGAAAAGTGGTTTTAGAAAATTTGGACAGTACATTTTGTGTGTCCAAAATGAAACAATGAAATTCACATTCATATAGGATTTTCTAATATTTTCCAAAAAATATATATATGTAAAAAAACATGATGCCTACAAAATCTACAAAATAACAAAAGCCTTACTGGGTACAACAAGCAGTAATTTTCATTCATATTCTATAAGTAAGACAGAAAGCAGCTAAGTGCTTTGTCGAGGTCACAAAAAGAGTGAACTTGGCCTTGGCACTCAAGGGCCTGGACCCTTGTCTGGCTATCATTTCCTCAGCGTGGCTCGGTAAGATTAAAAACTAGCTATTAATAGTCTGACATTTCCCACTTACCCCGGGATATGAATTCTATTTTCAAGGTACTGAGAAAGAGTCTGTTTCTAAAATGCAAGATGGTTTTCTAAGGAGGCACAACAGACCTTCCTAATGAAGAGGTCCTTCCATCCTTACGCAGTTGAGAACAACAAAAAATTTTTTTTAAGGAAAGAAATATTCCATTGCATATTCTTTGCAAAAAATGAACCTCCAGCTCCAAAGTACTTTTTTTTTTTTAACCTCCTAAAGATGGGAGCCTGAGATAAAGCCTGTCCAAGCTTTCTTTTAGCCAACAACACAACCAGAGAGCTGGGGCCAATGATGGAGTTGAGGGTGGCTAAGTCACACCATTGGTTGAGTTAAGAGCACAATTGAGAGAGTACGGGGGAAAAGAGTGGCAAAAAGTAAAAAGAAATGAAGTGGAAGTGGAAAGGACAGAAAAATAGTATGAGAGAGAAAAGTAAATGAAGAGTTATAAAGAGCTGCAGAGAAGGGATAATGCTAGCAAACACTGTTCTTGTTGTAAGCAGGCTGCTGGTCCTGCCAGACAACTCAGAGGCGAGCCTTTATCAACACTGTACTGCAGGCAGTGTCTCTGAGTCGATGAATGAGTTCACTTGGAAGCTTTCCATAAAGGCACACACCAATTCTTGTTCCATTTATGTGCAAAGTCCACGAGCAGGAAGAGCTGGATGCCTATAAAGATGAAGGCTCCAATGGCTCCCACATAGCGCCAGGCTGCAAAAGAAGAGCGCCCAAAAGGAGATGACATAATTGTTCCAAGTGTCAGCTCAAAAGAGAGTAATGACTACAATCCATTTTTACTGCATGCTCACTGTACCTGTGACACATTTAATGCCCACACAGTCATATAAGGTTGATACTGCTGTCATACCCACTTTATAGGTGAGAAAAACTGAGTCTATGTAAGCTGACAAGGGCCCACAGCCAGGAAAGGGTGTAACTGGAATGTGAACACAGGCAGTCAGTCTGGATCTGAAGCATCCAAGCTTAGCCTGCATGCTATAACTGGCAGATATTCTAACAGATGCAGGAATTCATAAAGTCAACATGACCCACAATTTAAAAGTAAAACCACACAATGCCAAAAAATCAAGGGGTCTAATTTTATCGGATAGGGAGCCATCAGTGTCTAGTGAGGAAATGAAGTTCAGACTTAGGGGCCGAGGATTCAGATTCTACTTCTGGCTCCGTCACAAAGACTCTAACCTTGGATGAGCCATGTCACATCCCCGGGTTATAGCCTGTCTATAAAAATGACTGAACTAGACTTAAAGGACTGCCTGGTCTTTTTCCATTCTGAAGATATTATTCTAATACATAAAAGTACATCTATGGGCAAGACAAAACCACTTAACAGCATTTTAGGTAAAAACAAGACCTGGATATACTTTCATTAAGGAGTAAATAAAACTAGTATGGACCCTGATGTGTGACTGTTTGAGGGTCTATGGCTAGTCCTTATGGACTGACACAGTGTGAATATTTTTACTGTCTTAACTAGGAAAGTGAATTCATTTGAGTTAAACAATGTTTTGAACCACTGAAATTCAGACTATTTTTCCTCCCTGTTTCAGCTATGATGAAAAGCTTCATATTAAATTAATTTTGGTAGGTTCAATCAATAAGGAATATAATTCAATGTTACAGTTTCATGTAAGGCAAGTTTAGAAATAGACTGGAGGATGCTTTTCTTATCCCATTACAGCTGCGGCTGTAATGTAAAGTGGCGAAGAAGCTCTGCGTTCTGTGTTCCGAATTTTCTGTGCAGTACTTAGGAGAAAGAACAGGGTCTCCAGGACCTCTTCAAACATGGCTAGTGGTGTCAGGCTGACATGCTAAACTGATTTTCAAATAAATTTTAAATGCCTCATTTTCCCTTCAGGCCAATAACCTTAAAATTATCATTTCGATTCTTCAGCTTGCAGAAAAACGAAAGGTCCTCCCACACCCAGCCAAGAAGAGAGGGAGAGGGGGAAAGATTAAAGAGATGGGAGAAGGAGGAGGACAGGGAGTTAGGAGAGTGGATGAAGTATGGGCAGGTTAGAAATTTTTTTTTAAGCCACAGTAATTAATAATATCAAAAGCACCCTGGACTACTCTTTTAAACAATTTTACTAAATGGGTAAAAACAAAATAAAATAGGTACCCCAAATACCCCATTAGTACCATTCAGAAAGGTCTCCTGATCTGGGATGAAGAAAGCTCCTGAGCACATGGCCCCCAACAAGAGAAGCTTGAAAAACCAAAATCTGGGAAAAAAAAAAAAAAAGAGGAAATGTATTTAAATGATATTCAAAGAAGGACAAAAGACCTCTTAGAACGTAAGCATGTCGATCCATGATTCTGCCTTTGGTACTATTCTCTCCAAATCGAGGGGAAGTAATTAAGTGACTGGAAACTGCCTTTTCCCATAGTTAGAAAGACTCAGCATGGCCTCTGATTGTACAAAACACCATTTTGTTGCAGGGGTGGAAACGACCTGGGGAAAGGTCATGGTACAAGAAATTAACTCTTGTCTTTGCCGCATTTCTCATTATGGTACCAGTGTTGCAAATAGGATTCTAGTTCTTAGGTCACTGCGTGGTGACAGGTCTAAACTCCTCCTTCCCTAAAGAAAAATCAGTGTCAATTTCAACTAGAGGAAGATCAGTGAGGGGGTCTGATGAGTAGAAGTGGTCCTAGAACACTGTTCTGAACACAAGAAAAGGGGAAACTACCCCCACAAAGACTGAAGGCTTACCCATTGTGAATATAGGCTCTGCAACTCTTGCTGTTGTTGATATTGATGGTCAGGAGGCAAAAGATTGAGAAGAAACAAGCCATTCCAAAACAGACTCTATACACCGCAGAATACCCCACCAGCTTCTCACAGGTATCACCAGCTTTAATGCCTTTACAAATGTCTTCAAAAAAAGGAATCTGGGGAGAAAGAGAAAAAAGTCATCTGTTAAAACTGAGTAAAGAGGAGCGGTGAATTCCTCCTTCAGCTTCCAAGTCAAAACCCAATGTGGAAGGAAGTGCACCCTGTGTGCAGAGGAATAAATTGAGAAGAAAGGCCCTCTTCTGAAGGTTTTTCTTAATTTTCTCTGAATCTTTTTATTTTTTTAAATATAATTCTCATTACATACCACTCCGCCTTTATTTACCCCAAATGAATTCTGAAATCCAGCATCAGAATTTGTTTAAATCACACTTTTAATACATGGATATTTTTTTCTTGAAATGCATAAATATATAGAATAAAAAATGAGACTTCCTTCATTCTCACCCCAAAATGCCACTGCCTTCTCCTCATGAGAGTTAACAATTTTGTATTTTTATTAGTTAACATACATAAATGTGTGTGTGTGTACATACATATACATTCCCATATTCATATACAACACACGCACATATACTTGTATGGTACCATGTACATCATATATATGTGTGTGTGTATATGTATATGTATATACACAAAAACAGCTTTATTAAGTAAAAGAGTATATGTATTGTTCTGTAATGTGGTTTTTTCTCCAGTTAATAAGCTGTGGAGATCTTTCTCTATTAATACGTAAAATCTCATCCACTCTTTTTAACCGCTATATAATATTTTATAGTAAAACCAGATTAAAACTGATAAGCATTTCCACATTGATCTTGTTGGAGAAGGTTTTTGTTTCGTGTACTTGGTTTTTTTGCCCTTACGAACACTGATTCAATAAACACTGTTGTGCATGCCTCATTGCACATGTGCCATTATTTATATAGGACAGACTCCTGACCTAGAAATGAAATTAGTGGGTCAAGTAGTACTTACATTTTAAAATTTCAAGATTTAGTCAAAGCACACTTTCAAAGGCTGTCCCCATTTATATTCTACCAGTAATAGCTGAGACTGCTCATGCTCCCAACCTGAATACCCAATTTAAAGATTTAAAAAAAAAAACAAACTATTTTGTTTCAATCCCTCTTCTTCATTACTAGTAAAATTAACTTCTTTTCTTAAATTTATGGCCATCTGTATTTTTATTTGCAAATTGGCGGTTGTTTTTTCTTGATCCGCTGGAGCTCTTTATTTATGGGTCTTAATCTTCTGATAAATGTTGACAATGGTTTATCCTAGTCCAATCAGAAAGTTTCAGTGTAAAACCTATTTACTTTGCCAGAATAATTAAAAACTTATAAAATCAGAACAGGCAGTACATTTCTATCAATGTAATAAAATAAGGATTTTAGTCAGTGATTTTTTAAAAACCTTGATTCTTATTTACGTTAAAGCTGAACACTTTCCAGAACAGAAAATAAGTTGAAAATCACATTATAGCTGTTATTCATAAGACAAAAAATGTCACAGAAGAAAAAAATTATACAAAGCTAGAGGTAAAACTGAAATGATAATTTAATTTCTTCTCCAAGAGTAATCTTGAAGAAATACTAATAACTGAAGCAATAAAGATTTCCATAAACAAAAAGAAGATTAAATTTAATTGAAGTTCATCTTCCTGAATGCTGATTCCCTCCCCTCAGAAAAGGCCTGCTGCAGTCATTACTATACTCGAATCTCAAACATGTTTTTCCAAAACAACTTTTTCAAAATTATTGCCTCTGGCAAAAATGCATTGTTACAGAGACTCTATTAGTATAGCTCCATTTTCATAAACATATGAAAGATCTCACAAAGAAACGTCAAACATTTCATAGTCAAAAAATTCTTGCAACTGCAATTTTTTTTTAGATCAGGGCAAGATATAAATAAATAGAGACATTACTATATTTTTGACCAGGTTAAAAAACAAAGTAACACATGTAGGGTTGCCTAACAAAACATAGAATGTCTAGTTAAATTTGAATTTTAGGTAAACGGTGACTAACTTTTTAGTATAAATATGTCATACTTGACTAAATATTGCATGGAACATACTTAAACTAAAAAAAAAAAAAAAGTATTCCTTGGCAAGAGACAAAGCTCAAAAGAAGGCAGGGTCTTGTTGGGAAAGGCCAGGTATATGCCATGCTAAGAAGTCTAGCCCTGTAGGCAAGGGCAAACAACTAAGCTAGAATGCCTTTGGCTGCAAAAGGGACAGGTTTGGGGGTCGGGGGGATGTATAGTTAGATGGCTGCTGGTTTAATAGTCCAGGTAATGGATGAAGAAGATAAACTAGTGGCAGAAAAACTAGAAATTTTGTGCGTAGAAGTCATAGTTGGTAGGGCTGTATGGATGATAAGAATGAAGTGAAGGATGGAGGAAGGGTTCTCTTCTGCTTTTTTTTTTTTTTTTTAACACGTGGAGGGGGGTAGGTTTGGCAGAGGGCAAAGAGTGGAACTAGAAGAACAGATCAGGAGTTTGTTTTTAACAAGCAGATTTGGAGGCATCCTGAGTCATCCCAAAGAGGATGTCTGGCCTGGAAATTGCTTCAGAACTGCAATTAGGACTAGACACAAAGATACACAAAGTAACCCGAAGCAGGTATTGAGAGAAGTCAGCAAATGCTTTCTGAAGAAGTTTGAATTTTTAGCTGTGTTTTACCATGAGTTAGCAAACTCACAGGGTTAAAATTTTCAGATACTAAATAGAAGACTCCACACAAAGTCAATGTTTCAGAGCCTTTAGCTGAAAACAAAAGCTACACTCATATGAATGGTGCCAGGAGGTAATCTCGCTTTAAATCTGTAAAAGCTATATTCAGGCTCCTCTCTCCCTCCCACCCCAAACTCACTTCTCTCCTCTCCTTCTAAAGTCCACTGTGAGGAGAATGCTAACGCCAGTAGGCCTCAGCAACTACCCCATCATCCTCTACAAATGTCCTCCCCTGTTGACTCCCAGAGGCCCTGAGGCTCATCAAAAGGTGTGTATGTGGCATGGAATATTTCATCCAAAATAAAAATAGGCAAACAACCCCGCTCCAAATTCTAAGAACTGCTTTATGCTCTGTGGGTGACTTAGTCATTTATCCTTCAGTAAGTAGTGAATATTTTTAGGCAACCTCAAGTTTAACAAGTTTGAAGAATTTAGCAAGAAGAATTTCTTCTGATTAAATATTTGCTGTTCCAAGCTCCATCCAAATATTGGAAAAAGAAAACATAAATCACACACAGATTCCACACTGTGTGGTGCAGGGGATGGACCTGCTAGGGTGTTGCCTCTCAAATCTGGTCCTGGGCATCCAAGGACTCTACATCTGTGTTGGTTCATTGACCTAAGGGCAAGGGGTTTCCTCCCAACCCTCAAGGCAACCAAACTCAAAGTCTCAAATTATCAGTGAGAATAAGCAGCTCACTTCCAACCCTAACTCCTACCACTAACTTGGGCAAATTACATACCTTCCCTGAGTTTCAATGTCTCTATGTGTACAATGAAATAATACTGCTGCCTACCTTGTAAAGTTGTGCTGAAAATTAAATCAGCTAATCCTTGTAAAGTACTACTGGCCATAGTTCCTAATCCACAGTAGCCATTAAGTAAATTTCCTTAATTCTAAAGTACTATCTTTTTTATTAAAAAAGCTTCTGAGGGAGGAAGTCAGGCACATTACATGAACCCCTGACGAGATGATGCATTCTGATTTAAACATGGGAGAAACGAGCATCTTAAAACTCTGTAAATACTCTGTTCACTTTACCAAAGGATATGTATTGAAAAATATAGGGTATCTTTTTCCTTTTCATAAGATGAATCCTTCCCTGGCACATTAATATAAGAACTGAGTTCCAAAAACACAGTATTCACTTATTTGTCTTTCAAAGACCTAATCACCACCCAAAAGAAAATATATCTGAACTCCCAAATCATGAAAGAAATGTTCAAAACATCAATACCAGTGTTAAGCTCAAAAGGATGGGAACCAGAAGAAAATCCACATAGAAGAGATGCTAGCTATGCCCAAACAACCTCCATAGCAGGCAAATAATTACACAGAAACAATAGAAGAACTATAGAAAGTTCTATGGGTCTAATCCTGGGCCAGAAGCCCAGGTGCTACAAACTCAGAAATAAAGTATAGACTTTTGGAATGGTTCTTACAGAAAAGGAAAAGAGGAAGATGAGAGTCATGTTCCTATAATATCGAAATCTTATTTGGGAAAGATGAGGAAATGGTATATTAACAAAGTTAATGATTCTTACATTTCATTTTATCAGACTTCCTAGGGCATTGGGTGAATGAGATGCAAAGAAAGCTTTGGGCAGCTCAGCATGAGTCATAGCATGAAAACTAGAAGAACTAGATCTTCGAGTTCTGTTTAATATCTCTGAAGTGAAAATAAATTTCAAAATCAAGAGCCTTCCTTACTCTGCCTCTCCTCTCTCTGATATTCCATGTGTCCTCAAACTTTCTAAGACAATTCATTTTTCTCTGTGGAGTAATTCCAGGATCCACGACAACAATGTCTGTCTGTTATCTACCGATGGACAGAAGCTATGAAATGGGGAATGCTAAAATCTGCTTCCATCCTCCCACAGACAGCCTCTGTGCAACTAAGGCTCATTTCTCAGTAAGTTATTATCTTTGAGGCCCTTCGTGGAATGTGAGGACTATTTAAAAAACAGAAACAACTACCAGTACTTGCTTCTCTTTTGTTTAGGTTTCTAAACATTTTTACAAGAAAAGTTTACATCTGTCATTATTAAAAGCCACAAGAAGAACTAAAATTCCTGAGACTGGTTTTATTTGATCCTGCCACCTCTAAAATCAGGAACTTAATGCCCCAATTAACAACTCTTCAGAATCTCAAAAGCATGCTCACAGCTCCTTCACCACAAGGATTTCATTGGAATCAAACAGGCACAAATATTATTAGACAGTCAGAAATCAACTCTAATCAAACTGTAAACATTATGATAGAATGAAAGGCTCTTGCACAGAAGGGGAACAGGGATCAGCTGACGTCAATCTCCATTTAGAGAATTAGGTAATATCGAAGGTGCAATGTACAAACAA